ATGTGGCTCTGGTGCTCTGTGCCCCGTGGGGATGTGCCTCTGGTGCTCTGTGCCCTGTGGGGTTGTGGCTCTGGGTGCCCTGTGGGGATGTGGCTCTGGTGCTCTGTGCCCCGTGGGGATGTGGCTCTGGGTGCTCTTTCCCCCGTGGGGATGTGGCTCTGGTGCTCTGTGCCCCATGGTGCTCTGTGCCCCGTGGGGATGTGGCACTGGGTGCTCTGTGGCCTGTGGGGATGTGGCTCTGGTGCTCTGTGCCCCATGGGGATGTGGCTCTGGTGCCCTGTGCCCCATGGGGTGCTCTGTGCCCCGTGGGGATGTGGCTCTGGGTGCTCTGTGCCCCATGGTGCTCTGTGCCCCGTGGGGATGTGACTCTGGTGCTCTGTGCCCCATGGGGATGTGCCTCTGGGTGCTCTGTGTCCTGTGGGGATGTGGCTCTGGTGCTCTGTGCCCCGTGGGGATGTGGCTCTGGTGCTCTGTGCCCCATGGGGATGTGGCTCTGGTGCTCTTTCCCCCATGGGGATGTGGCTCTGGGTGCTCTGTGCCCCATGGGGATGTGGCAGCAATGCTGGGATGGCGTGGTGGCAGTGTCCAGGTGTCCCCCAGGGCAGTGATCAGTGATGGGGCACTGTGTGCCCGCCTGTGCCAGCCTTGCTGGGAGCAGGAGCAGCCTGGGGATTTTATGCAGAGCTGGCTCAGCTCAGTGTGCAGAACCCATGGATGAATTAACCAGGAGCTGGCTGTGGTTTTCCTGCAGATCATGTTCCAGGCCTATGGAGATAAGCAGGGACCTCTCCATGGGATGCTGATCAACACCCCCTACGTGACCAAAGATCTGCTGCAGTCCAAGAGGTTCCAGGCACAGACTTTGGGCACCTCCTATGTCTATGACATTCCTGAGATGTTCAGGCAGGTGAGTTTTCCTTGGGCTCTTGTTGCTCTTCTCTTTTCTATCCTAATTGTCAGGGTCACAAGGAGCCTGGGGTGGCACCACTGGTGCCCTTATCAGCTGTGGATTGAGTCTGCTTGGAATGAATTCAGGACAAACTGCTGCTGGAGTTCCATTAATGAGCCAAGCACTAAAAGACAAAACATAAAAAAAAAATCTTCCCTTTATTGTTTTTTTTGTTTTCCCACCTCATTATGTGCCCCTCCTGATTTGCTGGGTTCTATCCTCAACCACTTYGTTCAAATTGCATTTTGGGGGAAACTCTTCCCTGATTGAAATTCCAAGGTGTTATCCATGGAGTACCGTCAGTCATACTGGCAGGAGGGATATTTTGGGGTTGGGAATAATCCCAATTTCAGTTGGGAACACCACGCTGGAGTAGATTGAATATAAATATTTGCAGATGATGTTGTTAACCAGAATTTCTCTTCCCTCCCCCAGTCTTTGATCAAGCTGTGGAATTCCATGAAYGAGCACGCGTTCCTGCCCCCAGCCCCGCTGCCCTCGGACATCCTGACCTACACAGAGCTGGTTCTGGATGACCAGGGCCAACTGGTGCACATGAACAGGCTGCCAGGGGGAAATGAGGCAAGTGCCACTTCCTTTTGTGTTTCTTCTCTCTCTCTGTGCCCCCCAAAAYGTTGTGCTTTGGGCTGGGTTTGACAATTGTGATGAAAATTTACCAGCCAGGCACAAAATCTATTCCTTCAGCCTTRCACAGATGAAATCTCACTCTTGAAAATGAGATTTTTGTTTCATTAAAAATTAATACCTTCCCTACAATGGGTATTTTAACTTCCATAGTAAATGATGATTCCATTTCAAACCTGTGCTGGTTTTCCTTCATAATTAAAAAATGCTCGTTCAGCTGTTCCAGATAACTGGGGTTTGTATTTGAGCAAAATGTGTTTTACAAGACTAAATAGAAATATTTTCAATTGCTAAAAAAACCCCMAAAAACCCAGCACTCGCAGACAAAACCATTTTATGCTTCCATTTTCCTGCTCTGCACATGGATTGTATCCAGGTATGGAGAACATCACTCTCTGGAGTAGGATTTACTCAAGACTTACAACAATCTGGTGCTGGGGATGGTGCAGTCACTCCTTGAGCTCGAGCAGGAGAAGGCTGAGSTCTCCTGGTGGGATTTTGCTGGGATGTCTTCAATAACTGAAATTTGAGCAGTTCTAAGTGATGGTATCRTTTATTTTTTCTTGGTGTCGTTGAACCAGCATCAGCTTTTTCCTAAAAACACAACTCAAAATTTGCAAAGGCTCTGTTCACAAACATCAGTGCAGTGATGGGAGGAAGCAGGGCTTTTCCTCCCCATTTCCTGCACGGATTTTGGCAGGGGAAGGTTTGCAATGTGCCTGATGGTGACTGTGGGATCACCACAGCCTTGTCTTCTGCTGGACTTCAGGAGAAACGCTTGAACTGGTCTAATTAAAACTGGGWTGAGCTATTCCCTGCATTCCCAGTGCCTCGTGCCATCATCTTTCTCTCTTTGCCTGCTCTCGTTCAGCCTTTGAGTGGATGGTGGCTGGGGAAATAGCAAAGTCCCTCAGGGACRTCGCTCTGTTCTTGCTGAAATTACAAGCACAGAGCTGCCTGGGCATGAACATGTAGTGTTTACTCTGCCAGCATGAATACAAATAGTCTTATTATAAGAGATTCTGTACCCAAAGACCACCAAAAAAAAAATTAGGAGATTTTTTTTAACCCTTGGTAGACTTGGTTGTGCTCGGTCTGTACAGAATTGACGTGGTTGTTCTGGTGTGTGCAGTGTTGGGATTTAAATGAATCTGAGGTGATCTAGCCARTGTTTTCTTGCCCAGAGGGGTTGTAGAGGTTGTGGATTCCCCATCCCTGGAAGGACAGGGCTTTGAGCCACCTGGGATWGTGGGAGGTGGTGCTGGATGGGCTTTGAGGTCCCTTCCAGCTCCACAGTGGAGTCTGTGCCCCAGAGATCCAGAGGCAASAGCTGCTTCCAGTGAGCTGGCAAGTGAAATAGGAACTTCCCAGCTAAATGTGAGATTTTTATTATTRTTTTTGTTTCTTGCCAGTGAAAATTGCTGATTTTCTGAATTCAAAGTCTTTGGCTGCAGTCCCTGCCCTGACACAGGGCAGGGCAGCAGCTCCAGGCTGGGATTCTCCCTGTTTTTGAAGAGTTTCCAGGCAGCATTTTGGGAAAAATGGGCTGATCTGTCTGTGTTTTCAGAGAAATCAGGGAAATCTGATTTAGGTTGGAAGGACCTTAAAGCTCATCCCTTTCCACCCTTGCTGTGCTAAAWGGGGAAATGTCTGAAGGAGTGAGGAGCTGGGTGAGCACAGAGCAGCCCAGGGGTGTATTGGTGTATCCAGCTCTGTTTGAATCACAGTGCTGGAGCACTGTGCCCCCCTTCAGAGCTTTTATTAGCAGAAATCTGGGTGTGGAAAGGTAATTCCCTCAACCCCTGCAGAACCCCATATATTCCCTTCAACCCTCAGCTCCCATTTGGATATTTTTCTATGTATTTATGTGTTTTCACTACAATTTGCCCTGATCCTCTGGCACCAGGAATGCTGCTAAGACCCAACTAATCATCAAGGACAAGGAGAAAGTGGTGTAAGGAGTGCAGCAACACCCCACATTCCCYTTTCATCCCTCTCCCTGTGCCCACAGAAAATGTCATTTTCCCCACTGGCACTAGATGTCACAGTTTTTCCTCCTCAGTAGTGTGAAGATCAGAAATAATCCACAATCAGAGCTGYTCCAGCACCTTTCTGGGTAGCTGGGAAGGTTTGGCCAGGGGAAATTCAGGATGGCAGAGGGCTCCTGGAATGCTGCTCCGGTGGCTTTCCGGATTGCCAGAGGCACAAAGGTGTAGCTAATGCATTTTATACAAGCACAGCTTAATCGTTGAGCTGCATGTTCTGCTTTGTCACCCCCTGTTCCTGCATTTTATGGCAGGCACAGGGAATTAAACCAGCAACGAGAGCTGCTGCAGCTTTCCTGGAGGGTTTTAAAATCCCCAAATCCAAGCCTTCCAGGAGCAGGGATGGAGGTGGTGGCAGAGTTTTATTCTCTTATTTTCATACAGATGTTTGAACAGGTCTGTGTGGGTTTTTTGGATCCTGTGGACAGAAAAGTTCTGGCCCACAGGGAAGCTCCTAATGAAGGATGTCTAATCCTGTCTGTAATGTGTTTTTATCAATCTGAAACTTCAGGAGGAATTTCTTCCTGGAAAAGGTGGTCAGGCTGCCCTGGGAGGTGCTGGAGGTGTCCAGGAAGGGCTGGATGTGGCACTCTGATAGATTTGACGAGGTGGGGATGGGTCCCAGRTTGGAGTYGCTGATGTTGGAGGTGTTTTCCAGCCCCAGTGACTGTGGGATTTTGTGACACCTTTCCCTGGGGTCACGTCCCATCCTGGAGCTGTTCCCTGCTGTCACTCCAGCCGTGCCAGCGTCCTTGGCTGTGTCCATTGCTGAAGGACATCTTTCCCAGAGCCAAGAAGGAATCCTGGTTTTTGGCATGCACCCTCTTCAAGGTATGGAGCTGGAATGCCTCTGGCAAAGTCTGTGCATCCTTCCCTTTTCCTGGGAGCTGGTTCATGCTCTGGATAAACATCTGAAAGCTCTCTGAGATCTGAGCTTCCAGGCARCACATTCAAATGATGAAATGCCCAAATTGCCACGTCTGCAGCAAGCAAATACCCACATCCAGGTTTCCAAATTTCAGTGTGAATAGACAGAATGAGGCCTGGCCTCAAGTCCACTGGGTGGGATTGTTGGGGTGGCTGTGCASGGCCGGGAGCTGGATCATTGATCTCTATGGATCTTTTCCAGCTCAGGATATTCTGTGATTCTTCAGGAATTGCAGAACCTGCCAGAAAGAGCTTGAAAAGCTCCCTCTCCCCAGCTGCTCCTGGTTTTCTCCCCTCTGCTGGGAGCCTGGGATCAGCTCCTTCCCCGTTCCCCTCGGTGCCCATTGTCAACTGCCACCAGCAGTCAATTTGGAACTGCATCAGTGTGTGTATTACCGTTCCCATCGATAGTGCAATTAATGTTGAAGTCAATTTTGGTGTTAATTTTAGGCCATGATTAGTGTTGACACTGGGTGTCAAACGAGCGGCGTTTACGAGCGCCGGGGAAGCGTTTTCCTGCCCCTCGATGCTTCCATTAGGGCCAGGATGGAGTGGGAGAAGGTGTGTGCAAAATGATACATCTGAAAGTTGGGTGTCATCTCTGATTCTGCAGGGCTGGGGCCGTGCAGGGAGCAAATGACAGCTGAGCACTGAAWCCTAATCACAGTTTGGAGCATCAGAAATAATGATCACTTCTGATCGGGGCTTGTGAATAATTCATCCCCTTTGATTTTCACGTGCTGCCCACTGATACTTTTCAAACCAAATGTGTTCCTACAGGAGAATAATGGTCCCACTTCTTATGGAAATACCGGGGCACAAATCATTTTGCCAACATAAAAACAGTTAAATAAGACGGTTCCTGCTTTTATTTTTCCCTCYGCCTCTTCTTCACTCCTGGGTGTGCTGGGAATGGAACTGTGGCAGGAGCAGCATTTCCAAACTGTGCTGCCTCTTAAAAAAAAAAAACCTGTTCCAAACCTAGGGCTGCTCAACTTCACCTACCAGTGCTCTTAAGTGATTARCTCAACCTGGCTAATTAACCTGGGAACTCTGCAGTTTTTGGCRTGCTGCCTTTAACTTAAAAATCTCATTATTCC